AAAAAAAGATTGCAGATTTAAAGAACACTTGCTAGCGCATGTGCCAGATGCTGATAGCTATATATAGCCACTCGAACGAGAATGACTGCAGAGAGTATCTTATCCAGGCAAATAGGAATTTGCCTGAGTAAGACCAAGGAAAAAAGGAAAAAAAAAAAAAATTTGACATTTAGTCTATTGTGCATAACTTCTGCTGCAGAAGTTGTGTAAGTACTCCGTGAAGTGGAATAAGAACATGTCCTCATGATGACCTTATGTACATTTCACATAAATGTGTTCCCAAATTTAACAGAACCAAATCTATCCTTTTTACCATTAGACTGCTAGTCATTTTTGAATACAACCTCGGTTTCCTTGTTCCATAACCCTTAGAGAAGTAAGCAAAGGACAACAGATAAGGCTTCTTCAATGTAATAAAAAAGTAGCATGCAGCCTGTAAGATGAAATTCAAAACCAGAACTCAGATATAAAGAACATGATTTGCCATCTTAGTTTTTTCTTATTGTCTCACTCAACACAATTTTAGAAAAGAGAGGCACTTGATTTTCCTGCCTCTTTTCCTCTATACGCTGGTATCAAATTTCTCTTCCCTTCTATCCAGTACAGTGGGTTTTTACCTACAGCAATATAATTTCTAAGTAGTTCAAAATGTGAAATAGCAGTACTTGAGATGATGAGCTATTATTTCTACAAAGCAGTATGATAATTTTGGAAGGACAGGGAAGTTGGGTATGGATTCTAATTAACACTGATGAACCTGGCTCCTAAAGATTAAATTCCCAAATGAGTAACTGCTACTTTTCTACACACAGGTCTATGCAAGTTATTGTCATTAAAACAATTAAAAAAAAATTATAAACTTCAGTCTGTGTCAAGATATTGAAGGCTTCCCGAAATTGATTAAAAATATTAAATGAGGTATTGAACTACATTAAAAATCAACCTTTTTCATGTATTGAAAAGTAATGGTCTATAATTTGTATTCAAGTGATTTTATTTCCAGTGAATAATAATTGTACTGCAGCCAACTTTGTGCCCTGTTTCTCTGAAAACCTCAAGGGATGTACAGAAGAGGATTTTGTACCCTGCTGAAGACACACACACTTTGCGTGACATTGCTTCTTATTCTTCAGTTCTTACAGGGAGGCTTAACTTCGTTTCATTATGTGTTTATTTTTCCATTGATGGTTCCTTCAAACTGGTAAACACAAATGAAAGTGCATAGGTATTAGCTATACTGATAGACTCTGGAAAGTACTATAAGCTAAATGCAAGTGCATGGAAACAGAGGACTCAACCTGAATGCATTAGTAAGTGGACTTGCAAATCAGGAGATTTGTAACAATATATTCTTGTTTCCTGGTTTTCTCTGTGCAACTTGAAGTTGCCTATAGCCACGTGATGTTCAAAATAAAACTAAAACGTCACACAGAAGTGCTCATCACTTCATGTGCCCCAACGCTGCAGGAACTGGGGAAATGGTCATTTCTCACCATTCACTTCTCTACTTGGTCAGGCTTGGCAGCTTCTCCCCTGCCCCCCAGTTTTTCCTCCTTTGAGTCTCATGTTTTATCTCACACCTACACCCTGCGCTCACATCTTGCTTCCCGTATTTGCATCTTTTTCCCTTACAGCCTCCTGCAGTTCCGTTTTCAGTTCAATTAAGCAGCTGTAGAACTTGTCAAGGCCAAGTTGAAAAGTATAGGCTTTGGACCATGGTATCACTATGAACACATTTTAAGAGCTGAAAGTAGAAAAAAAGTGTGTAATGACGAAATTAGGCCTGCAGACAGAAAGTGAAGGCTATAAAAGTGGTCCAGAGGGTGGTGATCAGTGGCACAAAGTCACTGGTGGTGCACCCCACAGCCAATACTGTTTAACATCTTCATTAATGAGCTGGACGATGGGGCAGAGTGCACCCTCAGCAAGTTTGGAGATGATGCAAAACTGGAAGGAGTGGCTGATACACCAGAGGGTTGTGCTGCCATCCAGAGGGACCTCAACAGGCTGGAGAAATGGGCCGACAGGAACCTCAAGAAGTTCAACAAGGGAAAATGTAAACTCCTGAATGGGGGAGGAATAACCCCAGCACCAGTACAGGCTGGGGGCTGACTGGCTGGACATGAGCTCTTCAGGGAAGGACCTGGGGGTCCTGGTGGACCACAAGCTGACCACGAGCCAGCAACACCACACTAACCCCCAGAGCACACTAACTGCCCTACCTAGCCCATCTCAGCCACACACCTTTTATTTTAGCAGACATAAAGCTTCAGTCCACCACCTGCGCTCCAGATACCCTATCCCCAAGCTTTCTGCTCCTCTCCTGCTTCCCGTATTCTCCTGGCTGCTCTTAAAGCAGTTTTCTGCCACTCTCATTTCTGCTTCCATATAGCTTCCCAGACAATGTTGTATCCTACTTGTCAGCCTGCTTTCCCTCACTATCATCCTATATGGCATCTCTACTCTTCCCATGGCCACTAGGGATACAAAGTCCTTCCTGGCCATCACCTTTAGCCCCACTCTGAACAAGTTTTGCCTGCAAATGTTCACAGGACCATGATAGCTTTTGTGCTGAAAGCTGCTTAAAACTTCTATCCCTAATAGGGGACAGTGAACATTTGATGCAAAGGAGAAGTTCTATGAGTTTGAAAGCAGAAATTTAAAAAACGCATGGAAATTCTTACAAAACTGTACTAGGAGATGTACGATACAAATAACAAGAATGGAAAAACATTTTGAAATAAAAAGAAGTATGATTGAAAATTAAAGGGAGGGTGGATCAGGCAAGACTGACTGAAAAAACTTTCAGTCTTGGTCAATATTTCTCCCTGTAGCAATACCAGTGGGTTACCAATTTCATCTTGTGCCACTTGGGATGGAAAATGTTAGAACAAAGGAAATGTCAGGATAAAGGAAAAAAAGCCAGGACTCTCAGCCCTCCAACATGAGATCTAAACATTGTCTTTCATTAGCTCCTGTTTCAAACCCCATCACCTGTAGTACCTACTATTTCTCTTCTGAGTAATTTGTCCATCATTTTTTGTAATCGCTTAGCTCTTTTATAACCTACAGGACATTGTTTTTTGTCCACCTCTTTCAACTTCAGTTAAATGTTTATATCATGTTATCAAATACTGTTTCATTAATACTGCATCCCGTAAAATCTGTGAAAACTTCAGTAGCTACCTTGCAGTCCACTCTCTCCTACCATAGCCTACATTGCCATCGGTATCTAAGCAAGTTAGTTTAAAGCAATCTCAAATACGTGTCTACATGTCTCTACATGTCTAGGAACTGCAGTATAAATTTACCCTTATGCATCGGCATGGATTACATACAACAAATGAATGTTTCTTTCCTGAGGTAGGCAAATTTGGAATGCAAATGGTAAATCCTGAATTTCAGACAAATGATTGCCTATCAAAACTCCTTTCCAAACTAGTCCTTAGAGTATTGCATACATGTAAAGGGGGAAAATTTGAAAGATCCAGACAATTGCCACAGGCATCTTTAACTCTAACAATACTTCCCACTTGCAGATAGAAGCACAAGTCTGAAAGTGGTAATAATAGCTAAATGGATATTAGTATCTGCCATTACATGATCTATCTGCACAATTACAGCAGTTTGTGAATGCTAAATTTGCTTATCAAATCTGGCTTAAGAGCCTAAAACAACCCCTTTTCAGGAACAACATATCACCTACGTGTTGTTTGGAACCGATGGAACTTTAACTTAGAGAAAAACCACATGGGTATAATGCCTAAAAGAGCTGAGAGAAGTAATTGCTTCCAGAGAGATTTCTCTCCCAAACCGAACCAAAGGGGGAATACAACAGTCAACTCCATTTCTTACAAACAGGCATTAAGAGGCCAGAGAACTCCACCAAAAATTAGATCTTTCTTCTCCTTTAACAATGCCAGAAACAAAAATGTTAAGACTTAAAACATCTCAAGACACACCACAGCTGTCAAATAAGAGTAAACAATCATTGTCTCTGCTCTGAGAGAGTCACGGTGATTCAGCCAAATGGAGTCGTTCAGTCCTATAAATACTATAAATTGTTTAAGTCATGGGAGCTCTACTAATTTGCACAAGAGAATGATGTGACCATCTTCGTATTGGCATACATGCCTCTGAATACGCCCCAGGAAAAAAAAAATCACCCTTTATTCTGCCAAAACCAACTATTTCCTCCCCATCCAAAAAGATCAAACAGAAAATCACAGACTCTGTAAGTGATAAAGCAAGGTGTCCTACTTGCATAACGGAATGTGAAATAAATGAACATAAAATAAGTCCAAGCAGAAATCTTTCATATCTACTGCTGATAACAGAAATGTTGTCTAGAAGCTTTTTCAGACATGTTCTCATACTTGTAGCATGGCTGGGTTTCTACAGATTGTGATTCTTTAGGAAGCAAACCTCAGTCTTCTCAGAAATTGGTTTGAAACAGAATCAGATACTATGAACTAAAAGGAGAGTCTCACTGCTGTATTCTCATCTATTCCACAAATTTCATATTGTTTAAGCAATTTATTTAGATTGCAAAATTACTTTGACATCATTGAGGATGGCAGAACTACTTCTGATCACAAACACTTCATTTAATCATTGCCAAAGAGAAAGAAGTCAATGAAATATGAACAGTTAGAAGTAATACATCTGCCTAGGGAAAAAAAAAAGAAAATAATTTAAAATATCCAGGCTTTATATGTGGACACTGAGGAAGAAAAGGCAGTGAAATAATATATACTACCTGAAAATGTGCCATTGTAGGAAGTGTTATGGTCCTGAAGACAGTGAGCATTTCACTGTTGAGATATCTTTACATTACTGTGAGGCTGCTATTTGTAATATACTATGTCAATGTTAAAAAAAAAAAACAACATGCAAACTAATATGTTAAAAATTTGTAGAGAGACAGATGCAATTTGCAGTTCTAAGACATCATCCATCCGTCCAAGGGGGTATGTCATAAAAAGCATAACAACACCTACCTCTTCTTGCTTAGGAATGCTGAACTTGGCTATCTTTGACTTGGTCCTGGCCGAATCAGGCTTGTTAGAAGGCACTCCCCTATACGACTTGGTCGTCTCTGCTGGTAACTTCAGCTTTGGAGACTCATCAGGAGCCTGGTCTTGACCGTCCATTGGCCTTACATGCACCCCAGCAACAGAAGAAGTTGTGTCTTTATGGACAAAGGATCAATGATTAGGAGAAAACCATCCCTTTCATTGATCCAAGACTACTGTCAGCTGTTAAAATAGAGAAATTAAAAAACAGTAAAGCATAAAAGATTTGGAATTGCCAAGGTGAAGCAAAATGTCTGCTGTAATTCAACTGTTGACAGGGATACTGCAAACTGGGCTTCGAAGCAAGAGAGGGCGGGAAGTTTTGGACGCAGTGCCCGCCACCATGCTTTGCTGGCCTCTCTTGCGCTTGAGCTCCTCCTTCCGAGCTACAATTGAGCTTTGCCGGCTGCTGCACTCTGTTGACATTGTCTCCTAGTGTGGCCCTCAGTGAGCTTTGCTGGGCAGTGTTGGAGGAGGAGGAGGAGGAGTTGGGACTCGATGCATAGCGTTTTAGTTTCTCCAGACTGGATTTTTGGTTCGCCAGTTTGAAGTCACCCTTGTGTGACTCCAGCGACCGGTGCCCATGCTTGCTCGCTCTCTGCTGGCCATCCGAAGCAGCATTGTGCCCGGCCTTCTGCCAACCCATCGTGGTGCTTTTGCTCTGCTGGGCAGATAGGGCTGCTGGTGTGGAAGAAGTAGTGCCGGAAATGGGAGGAGGAGGCGGCGGTCTCGAGTCTGCAATAAGATGTTCATCCAGCTTGGGGAGAGACGTCTGAGGAACCCCAGGTTTTGGAACCCCAACAAGGTGGCTCTGGTTTGATCGGTCAGTTAACAAGTCCTTCATTTCATCATAGTTGCCCAGCGTATTCTGGATGCGATTCGAGAGCTCATCCCCCTTGTTAGTCTGCAAAACAAAAAACGAATGTTCTGCAACAGTCAACGTAAGAAAAACAAAATTCCCTGCATGCTTCTGCTGAAATCCTTACTGAAGTAGCACTGCCTTATTCAGCAGTGGCGTTGAGGGATGAAATCGAAAATCCTTATTGTCTCTGAAGACACTTGTCAACATCTTAAATCTACCCTGAACTGGAAAAGCTATAAAGGGCCTTAGAGTATATAAAAAAAGAAATCTATCACTGGTATCACACTGTAGTTAAAGTATATTACCTGGAAACTAGAAAATTTATTATTGCAACTACACAGAATGGTTTGGATTAAATCTGACCATGATAAAACTTTTCCTATAGCCCAGTGCAAGCTCTCCTTCAGCCATGAATGAAAACACTGTACTCCCAATTTCCTTCTCTGCCTGCCTAAGTTTTCACATAGCATCTGGGAAGCCACACGACATCCAGCGTAAGCACTGAAGGAACTCACCGGTCTAAGCGAACCAAATACTCCGAGGTGACTTGAAGACAGCTCGTGGGACAATGGGAAAACTACAGATGATTATATCCCTTCTTTGAAAATACTGTCAGGATGCTCACTCCAGGGCACTCTCCTCTTCAAAAACAAAGGTGAACAGAACCCCCCAAATTCTTCACATTGCCTAGTGCTTGCTGTGTGCAGCAGGGGGAACACAGCCACCCTCCCTCCCCTCTAAGATTCATCATTGTCTTTAAAATCATCCATTTACTTCCTGACTGAAAAGGCAGAAGCTCCACAAAGAAATAAAACAAGCAAATAAGACATACTGGAAAAGATTGAAAACCCTTGCTTTAAAAAGCCACTGTAAGCAAAAGGGTGTATCATTAGCATTTATGCAGCAAAGATTTTTCTAAACCCTGCCAAGATTCAAGCATGTGATGTTCTTTGCTTTACATTTTCAGAGGAAGACAGTAATGAGCCAGTGGTGTTCTCCTTTCTCTCTTCCAGACACGGGGTCTGGATGGGAAAACTCCCATTGATCTCAGAAGGCCAAGCTTTCATCTCAAGACTCCCTGTTTTAGAGAAAAACAGAAATAAGGAGAAAGAAGGGAGTAAAGGGAGTGGAGAAACCCACTTAAAGTTATATAAAAAATACGAAAAATGTAGCAGCAACATCAGTTACTCTGGAAAATTGGGGGTATTTTTGTTTTTAAGCCTTCAAATAAAATTGAGTCACTCAAACAAAAACGTAAGGGAAACTCCCCCAGTTCAGAATCTTTTTTTTAGAGTTTCCTATTAAAAAACCTGAATCCAAGCAAAAATGCCCTGTACATGAGTGCAGCGATTGCCACATGCTAACTTTCAGAGGACTACAGCGGAAGCATTCCTAAGTCAGACAGTAGAAGCAGTCCTGTCTTGCTTGAAACTTGTCGCCTCAAATTTCAAGGACATTACCTTGTAACTATGTAAAATACATTACAGCTAGCTTTCTGATATGCATTTGTTACAATGCTAACAGAGTTTAATATATACCAAGAATATATATTGAAGGGAAGTGGGAAGGGAAAAACTCAAAAGTGTTGCATCCGAATCATTCCTTTGCAAACTTGGGATAAGATGGCTCAGCCACTACAGCCTGATCTTTTCTCTGCATATGCAGCTGTTGTTGTCACAAGGACAATAATCTGCTACGAAAAGAAATATGAAGCATTAATTCACAGAAAACAAGTGGCTTAAAAAAAAAGGTGTTCCTTTGCTTCACAGGAATCACATCCATGTCCTAAAGAAGAGGAAACTATTAATGAGGCTTCAAAGTGGGAGGCATCACATACATCTGGAAAGAAAGAATGTTGGAGATACACTCATGTCTCCTGGGGTAAATGAAATGGCTTCTACACTTGGGCTTTGCCTTGACCAGCAGAATTACTTTCCGGACGGCACAGAAAATTTCCCTTTTACCCAGTGGATCTCTTCTATGCTTCCAGTGGATCCTCCACCTCGTGTAGATACCTTCTAGAGATGTGTTTCCAGCTTCCCTCTAGGGAAGGAGATCTGCCCTTGGGCCTGCACCCAGTCTGATTCAGCCAGCCTGTGTGTGTGAGGTTTCCTTCCCTGCCAGGAGCATGGCGACAAGGACCACCAAATGGAACAGGGCTCCTGACACCCACAAGTCTCCTACAGCACAGACAGCTTGTGGGGCAGCTCTCCACCTGGCTGCCTCTAGGTCCATGAACGTAAGAGAATTTATGTGCAAGTTTTGCCCCTGGAAAGTCCAACTTCCCTAACAGAAGGTCCATTCTTTCTGATGCCTGCTATTTGGATGGGAAGTAAATAAAAGCCTAATTTCAGATCTGTAGACTATCAGTAGCCCAGAGAAGTCAGCAGATTGTCTTCTATATGCATGTGATGTGAAGGTCACAAGGAAACACCTCATATTGAGAGATCCCAGATAACCACAAGAATACCTGTAGAAAACCAGTCTAATGCCTGTACCACAGCACATGGTGGCAACTGGTCGGTGTTGTTTATTCCTTCTGGATGCACTGGGGACAACCTGAGGCGAGAAGATTTTGTGTTGAGCTGATCTCATCCAGAAGAGTTCACCTACATCCTTTTGGGATCATGATGGGGTCTGAGGTAACTTGTTATGAGCTTTAGATGTAACAGTCTGTCCTATTATTTGCTCTGAAATATTGTTGGCCTTATTTAATCATTCACATAGGGAAAACACGGTCACAAAATGAGTAAGTAGGAAAAGCATTCTGTGCAAACATTTCTAACTTACAGTGCTCTGATATTCTTCTGCAATGCAAGATGTATCCATGCATTTGAAGACTGCAAGATTCAACACTTCTAAAAATAAACCTCATGGTTGCATGGAAGGTCATCAAAATTTTTTTCTTCATTAAAAATACTGATATTGTTAATGTCCAGGAAATATCCGGAATGAAACTCCTACTTTTTACCCCCTGTAAAAGACATTTTAAGTAGAAGATACTTGGTTTCCCGTAATCCTTCATAAAGGGTTGCTATGGATACTTTGAACAGGATAAAGGGCAACCCGAAGAGTCAGGATTTTTCAGAAAGTCTGATGTTACCGGAGTAGTGATACATGTCAAGGTGACAGAGGACATAAGATTTAAGAGATTTCCAGTCTGCCTTTGATTTTCAGATATGGCCTTCTGAATGGCAAATCCTTCGGCTTTAGCTCATGTTTCTCAAGCTGTGTAGAGGAATACTGAATTTAATCAGAGCTTGCGGCGAATGTCTGCTGTAACTTCATTTCCCTCTGGAAACACCTAAAACTTGAACATGATCTTTAAAGACAGTAAGATTGGGTTTCACAGAAAGGTTTCCTCTTTTGCAGTCAGCCTTGCTCCAGGATAAGATCAAAAAGCCCAAGCCACAGCTCTGCACCCCCACACTGAAGGTTCACAAATGCTTGGATGAGTTCAGACAGCGCAATGGTCCATTGCCAGTGTACACATGACATTCAGAGTACGCCACTGCTGAAGTTTTGATGTCCAATACTGTCAGAATGACTGGTCATCCCAAGCAGCTGTGACTGTCACACCAACAGAGCTGTGGGTGAGCTATACTGCTGTACTGGGTTTTGCCTTTCTCCACGTTTCCTTGACAAAGCCAGCTGCAGGATGTATTTCTGCAGCACCTTCTTTACGTGCTTGTCCAAAATAGGGACACAGTGTTTAAAGATAAGAAGCATGGGTGGAGCCATTGTTCTGATCTCCCCATAGGATACCCACTCAGTATCCTCTCTGCTTCTAGAGGTGGCAATGATTTTTCATCCACTCCTATTAAAGTTGATGGAATTATACTGTGGTTGCATAGAGGTGCCTTCAGACATCGTAACTCAGAAACTACTGGTGTGTCCATGATACACGAAGTCTGTGCCATGACAGTCAGTACATTGGCACACAGGTAATAATTAAAGTGCACAAAATATTCCAACTATACCACTTTTATAAGTGATTTGAGCTTCAGTATTACCAACTTTAGGTACCGCAGACAAAATGGTATCAGGGGCCCAGCAAAAGGATGGGCCCTTTTTGTGAGGGGTCTATTTGATTGGATGTACCAAATGGAAAATTATTAAGTCCCCATTGCAGCAGAGCCCTCACGAAATGCCAACACACAGCTCACAAGCTTTTCAGGCTTTTTCCCATGGATTAGCCCTTGATTGGTCTCACAGTCGACTTTTTCAAGTAGAGTCTTGAGGAGTTCAAGACATTTCCCGTGGTTTCTAAACGCCTTTGTAATGAATCTGAAATTCGGGCAGCTGGAGGTCAGCTTCAAGGCAGACAGAGCTGTCTTCTATCAAGGGACATGGTTTGAAAGTGGTAGATCTTTCTTTTTTATTAGGGACTAGAAACAAACAGCAATCTGGAAGAACAGCAAGGTAAAAGCTGACCCTGGAGCACGGGCAGAAACACGGAAGCACGGAAGCCAGGTGCAGAAGCCAAGTACCAGGTCCCAAACAGGACTCCTGGAAAGAGGCACTAAAGCACCCAAAGCATCAAGGACAAGTGATGCTGCGTGGAGGGAAAGGCTTCGCAGCGTGGTGGTTGTAACAGTAACTTGGACATTACTGGAAGGGCACAGTAGATGATACATGATGGTGCTTTGATGCACGCAGGCAAAGTCACTGGGTTAGCTGCAGGAGAGGAGCAGCCCCCATGGGATACCGCTCTCTGGTCCTGTTCACAAGGGCTTGGTTTGCAGGCTTCTACAAAGTGCAGATCCTGCTTGACCCTTCTAACAGGGAGTGGGGAGAGATGGTTGTGCCTCATCACACTACTGTTACCACGAGGAATAAAACGGGGAGTTGAGACTCATAAGTTACCTCTGCCTTTGGTGAGGGCAAAACATGTCTAGCAGACAAATTTTGTTGGTAATGCTTATAGAAAAAAAAAAAAAAGCAACCACCAAGATATTTCATTACATTAACCTTGGCCAGAGCACAATGTTTACTTTATTGCTTGACCTTCACACACAATTCTAACACAATTGTTTTCTTCTAAGTGTTGCAAAAACAGGGCACCGTCACCTTCACCTCCTAGTTTTAATTCGATCTCAAATATTGTTAGGATATTTCTAGTTTATTTCATTCTTGTGTGCTGCTGAACATTATAAGAAGCTTATCTATCTCTATATATATATATAAAATCCGATTCTCAATGAACCGTAAATGTTCTCTGCGAATTTTGTGAGGCTAGCACTTGTGGCAGGGTGCTGAAACCTGGACAATGCCTTTGCCAGGCTGCATTTTTGTCCTGTGAATAAATAAATAAATAAATAGCCACCCAGCTGGGAAGCATCTACCTTGTACGGTTCACTGAAGAGGGAGTAACTCGTGTTAAACGCGCCATCCTCCTGCTGGGCCTCCTGATTTCTCCTTTCCCATTCTTTCCTTCGCAGCACGTTTCTATCCGGCTCATAGACACTGCAGCAAAAAGAGGAATAGCTTTTTAAGAGTTAAAAGTTAGCAGGCAACATATAAACCAGCATGAATTTAAAAGTGAAGAACTCTGGTTTGCAGACAGATGGCAAAAATAAGCAAGAACATGAATCAGATGAATGCCAGTCCAAGCAGGCTGGGGAGGCTCAGGTCTCTGGGAATGCTGGTGCTTTCTTCACACAGAGAATAGATAATTAAATTCTTACAGAAGAATAAAAAAGAAATCACAGGGCAGGATCTAGTCTGTGCAGAACTTCTCTGCTTGAAATGTGACAAAGGAAATATCTAAGCAACTTTGACAAAGACTGAAAGTACTCTTAAGGCAGATGGTAATTACAGCTATGAGTAAATAGAAATTATGAACATATTTCCACTTATGACATATCCTCTGAGTGTTGTATGAGAATGCTCCTTTTTTCACATGGATGTGTTTCTGTAGTGATTCTTTCATTAACTAGCTCCCTAAAGAGCTGTTAAAACTACATGCTGTAGTGGTTTCCACAGTTAGGCTGCTGCTTCTGATCTCTGTTAATCAGCCAAGTCGTGAAACTACTACTGAAACAATTCCTCTTTCTGATGGATTTGACACTATCACAACTTCAGAGCATGAATTAATGAATACTGGCACGATAGTGTATGTATGGCTGGTAGAGTGTAGCTGGAGAGAGAATAAAATCACTGCATTACACAACAGTATTAATTTTTAGAAATGAACTAGTCTGGCTCCAATACAAACATCCAGAATAAAAATTAACTTTTTTTTTTCAGAATTCTAGTTTAATGCATGACAACATAAACCAGAGAATCCCTTCCCTGGATTTCCACAGAACAACTCAGGTTTGCACATTTCAGTTTGTTATGTTTTATTCTCCTCACAGAGGAAACCAATGTGTCTAATAAGGTTTATGTGTTATTTCAGGACAATGTGACGAGTATGCTGATTGCCTATTTTGCTTAGCTCAGCTAATGCCTTTCTTCTGGCACTGTAAATCTGCAAAGTAGAAATATATATTAATGTCATGTAAGTGCACCATGTGTTAATAAGAAAAAGGTTGTCTTGCTAACCAGCTTCCCAGTTAGCAAAACATATGTTGCATCGGCTACCCACGTGACGTTACCTAGTACGCCTCAGGCAAGGCAGTCAAAAGGCCAACAGCTATCTGATTCTAATTCAAGACTTGAGAGAGCTGAAAATACATAGGATATGTTAGACACTATTAGTATTTAAAAACAATGCCTTAGCAGTCACCAAACGAACACAAAATCTTATGTTTACTTGTTAAAGCTGCTAACTCAAACTGGACTGCGGAGCACCCTTCTGATGGGTCTGAGGGCATCTGAGGGCAGGTGCCAAACGCCAAGCGGGGCTCTCAAACATGGGGGTTTGTTGTGAAACACAGGGTTTCAGTACAGCAGGTTGGAGGTAGCTTCCAACCACCGGTTTCTTTATTCCACTTACAGGTGGCTGAAGTTTTTTGGGGTTTTATCCCATATTTTTCATGAGCAATGCATGTTATTCACACCAACACCCTCTCTTTGAAAAGCAGTGTAATGAGGAGGCTATCGTAGGGGTGGAGTTTTGGACATGGAAAATGCCTTCCTCCAGGAAGAAGGGAATAGCGAAGGCCTCCCCACGGGGTCCCTGTGAGCGGAGATCATCTGCTGCACATGCTGCCGAGGCCAGAGGTAGAGCAGTTGTCATTTACTGCTACGTGAGCAATGGTCCTCGGTTACTACATCATGCTACCTGACTGTACTCCCATCAGTTAAGTCAGGGTAAAAGACTTTCTAACAACAACTTCAGTGTCTGAAGCAGACTTTCTGCCACCCTGAATAGCTATTGTCCCGAATAGCTGTTGTTAGGTTGGGTTTTTCTGGAGTTGCAGGGATCAGGTTGTAACTTCATCCTCAGCCACATTTCCCCATGCAAAACCTCTTGACTCTTTGAGAAGCTTTGCATTTGGACTCTAGCCTGCAGTCAAATAGAGATGGGCAGGTCCCCTGAGATTAATTATAATACTGATCTCTACCTGGTTTCTAGGAAGTAAACAAGTGCAGCATTCTCCACTAGGCCTCATACAAGTTTAAAAATGCACTGGTGTGATACTCCTAAAGTGAAAGGACATTTTTATTCCTTTATTTTATGGAGACATGTTTGATGAAGACATGCAAGCCGTCAGATCTCTGAACCCCCTTCCCGAATGAGAAGTTCACTGTTGGCAATGCAATGCACAACCTGCAATAATTCAGAATGATTATGCAAATGGAAAAACCGTGTGACAATGCCTAATATGCCATCTATAAGCAGTAAGTTAGGAAAAGCTACAAGTTGAGAGTTGTATTCCTTTGGTAATACCAGATGGCAAAATCTCTAGCATTTGTGAGGCTGCTCCTTATTTGCATGAACATTGCACTAATCACATTTCCTTAAACGTATGTCACCAAATGTATTTATTTATTTTGGTTCAAGGAGAATACTGCCAACTGCTATAATTGCCTTTATTGCAAACACTTCAGTTAATGGAAAATGATTCTTTTTAATAGTTTTATTCCTTCTTTTCTTAAAATTTGTAATTTAAAACAATCCCAAATGTACATGTACCTTTTTAATCGTTTACAGTGTGTGTCTTTTCTATAGCTAAACCATGGAGAACAGGTTCGTGAAAAGCTCAAGGTTTTTTCCTCATTGGGGCATGTGTGCGTATGTGGGTGATGTATGCATATATATGTGTTATATGCATGCTCGCACATCACTTTATTGATGAAGAGTTTTGCTAGTATGGGCCAAAATGCTGAAGCAGTTTTGCAAGACTTGGAAACCAAAGAACATGCAATCATTAATCTCTCAAAAGTCAGTGTCATTTCTATTTGCTTCATACAGGTCAAACTCCAAAAGAATGAATTTAAGTAGTTTTTAAATCATACAATCGTAGAATCATAGAATCATTAAGGTTGGAAGAGACCGCTAAGATCATCAAGTCCAACCGTCAACCCAACACCACCATGCCCACTAAACCATGTCCCTAAGCGCCTCATCTACACGTCTCTTAAATCCCTCCAGGGATGGGGACTCAACCACTTCCCTGGGCAGCCTGT